TAAAAAAGGATTGCACAATCCACACTTAAGGTGTGTTTGGTATGAAGGAAAACATTTTCCGGAAAATGTTTTTCCAATTTTCTCATGTTTGGTTGGGTTAAATGTTTTCCAAATCAACTCATTTTCCTCAAATTTAAGGAAAATGACTTTCCTTCAAAACTTAAGGAAAACATTTTCCAAAACTCTTTTTTTTTTTTTTTAAACTCCAATCTTTATAACTAACACATTGAATAATATGCATTTATTAAGCCCTATTTTTAAAGTCTTTGCTTAGAAAGTACATGAGTCTAGATGTGCTTCTATCTTTTTATATTTTTCTGCAAAAATAAATTCCCATCAAGTCTAGTAGATTCCATTATTTAGAGTGTCGTCCTAATAGTGATGGACTTCATAGTTATAGAAAAGTTAACCTAAAAAAACTAAACTAATTGTAAAAAGTAATAAAAATAAAATCTAGTCGGTTTAAAGGAATTATCCTAAAAAAATACTGAATACAAAAGTTGAGGAACCCCAAAAAAATAATAAAGCAAAACTAATACAAAAACATATCTAACAAGATCACTTCCCCACCCCAAAACTAAGATCATGTTTTGTCCTCAACGCAAATTATAACGAGAATGAGGCCTGAGCTAGCAACATGTTTTTTCAATTTCCATAAAAAAGGATTGCACAATCCACACTTAAGGTGTGTTTGGTATGAAGGAAAACATTTTCCGGAAAATGTTTTTCCAATTTTCTCATGTTTGGTTGGGTTAAATGTTTTCCAAATCAACTCATTTTCCTCAAATTTAAGGAAAATGACTTTCCTTCAAAACTTAAGGAAAACATTTTCCAAAACTCTTTTTTTTTTTTTTTTAATTAATATTGGTGGAGCTGTTAGCTCCTTTATTTCAATAAACCCAAAAATTTACAAATATAGACCCGTAAAATAGGCCCAAAGGAATGAAACAAAAAGCATGAAAAAATGTGGGCCAATCCAAATGGAAATGGCATACTATAAAAGTGAGTAAGATTTCCATTTGCATCCTCTGTCTCCTCCGCCTCTTACTTGAAAATGTTCATCATAGTAGCTTTGAGGAACAAAATCTCCGTGTCCTCCTTCACTCTGATAATTTGAAGCTCGCAGCAATAAGTCTTCCCTCCTCTCCACTTATGTGTTGTAATGCCAATCACTCTTCCTTCCTGACCTCGGCTTCCTTTGTAGTGGTAAACTTCGGTGGTGCAGTGGATCTGATGCCAAGTCCTGAGCTATTGCTTGGAAAATGTAAGCACATCTCCATACTTTTCCATTTTTGCCTTACTCCACACTGATTTGAGACGGACATAGAGATTCCAAGACAACCTCTCCGTATCTGATTTGACCGACTTCGTTTTTGCTGGTGGAACTTTTTGTAAGCTGACATAGCTAGGACTATTGTTTTCTTCACAGTTATGTATGCCTGTATAGTGGAAAAAATTGATGTACATAGCATAACTGTGTTCCTTGTTAATCTCTCTGATCCCTCCCCTGATGTATTGCTTGTACTGTTATCTTCCTTATTTTAATCCGTAGTGATGGAATTTTTGCTTTATCCATGTTCACAATTCCTCTACATTCCACTGATAACTATTGGAAAGCATGTATTTGTATTGCATTTGTTTGCTCAAATGCTTCATTTGCCAATTTATCTGCTAGTTTATTAGCTTCCCGAAACACATGTTGAATCTTTGCCTGTGTAGAGCTAATTAACTCTATTATTTCCAGTATTTCCTCTGCCTGCTGCCATGGTACCTTCCAATTACCTCGAATTATATTTGTAATGCTTAGAGAATCTGTCTCTAGAATGTAATTGCTGAAATTATATCTCTTGCAATGTCTTAGTGCTTTAAAGACTGCTAATATTTCTGCCTCCATGTTCGTTCTATTTCCCAAATGCCCTGCCTCCGCATATACAATATCTCCTTTGTCGTTCCTTAAGCAAAATGCATAGGCACTTTCTCCAGGATTCCCTCTACTAGCTCCATCCGTGTTGCATTTTATTGTATCAAAACTCTCTTCCAACTTCAAATTACAATTACTTTTTTGTTGAAAAAATCAATTTATTTTGTCCCTACCCTCAAACCAGCCCCCCAACCACCCCCTCAAAAAATAATAATAATTTTAAAGTTTATTTTTCAATTCAATTTTTTTACCCCACCCTCACCCCTACCCCCACCCCTCCCAAAAGAATATTAAAAATTGTTTTTAAAAGATATTTCTAATTTCAATTTTTTAT